CCATCCTGATTTCCACAGTGGTTGTACAAGTTTACATTCCCACCAACAGTGGAGGAGTGCTCCCTTTGCTCCACATCCTCTCCAACATTGGTTGTCATTGGTGTTTTTGATCGTAGCCATTCTAACAGATGTAAGGTAATCCTAGCTCTTTTTAACCATAGAGGTCTGGAGGTCTATACAGACAGACAGGAAGTGACAGAGCTGGGCAGAAAGAGGAAGTGGTGTAGCTGGGCAGAGATAGGAAGTAAGATGTCAGGGCACAGAAAGGTATATAGGCGTGAGTATACAGGAAGTAGCTTGCTTGGGCTGAGGAATTCCTAGCAGTAAGAGCTTGTGGCTGGCTTGTTCTGTCCCACTGATCTTTCAGCTTTCACCTCAATATCTTGCTCTGAGTTTTTTTTATTAATAAGACTGTTTAGCAATTCATGTTACAGTGTGGGAAAAGACTTTTAGCAACTTATCATTTAATAGAGAACTAATATCTAAAATATATAAAGAACTCAAGAAACCAGGTATCAGAAAACCAAATAATCCAGTTTAAAAAATGGACTACAGATCTAAACAGGGGATTCTCCATAGAGAAAACTCAAATGACTGAGAAACTCTTAAAGAATTGTTCAATATCCTTAGCCATCAGTAAAATGCAAATCAAAACTACTTTGAGATTCCACCTTACACCTGTCAGAATGGCTAAGATTAATAACACTAGTGACAGCTCTTGTTGGAGAGGATATGGAATAAAGGGAATGCTTATCCATTGCTGGTGGGAGTGCCAATTATACAGTCATTATAGAAATCAATATAGCAGCTCTTCAGAAAGTTGGGAATCTATCTACCTCAAGATCCATTTGTACTGTTCTTGGTCATATACCCAAAAGATGCTTCATATGACTACAGGGACATTTGCTTAACCATGTTTATTGCTGTTCTATTCATAATAGCCAAAAAACAAGAAACCACCTAAGATGTCCCTTAAGAGAAGAATGAATGAAGAAATTGTACATTTTCTCAATGGAGTATTTCTCAGCTTTTAAAAAACTTGACATTATGAAATTTGTAGACAAATAGATGGAACTAGAAAATAATCATCCTGAGTGAGGTAACCCAGAAAGATATATGGTATGCATTCACTTATATGCAGATATTAGTCATTAAATAAATGATTACCAACCTATAATCTACAGACCCAGAGAGTTTAGGTACAGAGGAAGGTAAAAGAGCAGGGCACATGAATCTCTCTGGGAGGAGGAAAATAAAATGGATTTTATGGGCAGATTAGGCACAGAGTTGGGACAGAAACAGGAGGGGAGGATCTGTTGGGAAGGGGGAAGGGAGAAAAGGTTGAGGGAGGGAATGCAGGGAGAGACAGCTAGAATTGAGGGGCATTTGAGGAATAACATGAAAATCTAGTGCAGTGGAAACTTTCTAAAATATATGAAGGCAATCCTAATGAGGCCTCCTGATAATTGGGGAGATAGGGTCCCGACTGGCCATCTCTTGTCACCAAATGAGGCTTCCAGTACCAGGACTGGGTTTCACTTAGTTAAGTTGTTGGACTAGAGAGTCTCATGGAAATCCCCAAATGACCCAGGCTGTTGCTAAGACAAGGGTTTGCTCTCCACAAACTGATAGTGGGGCCCCATTTTGGAGGCTAACACCAACACAAGTCATGGAGAAACCTAGCTGGTGCCTATGTGGAGCCTTTACCCCCATGTTCTACTGTCTCTGGTATAGGAAGGGACTCTGCAGGCTACCAAAGGAGAAAGTAAACACTGACAAAGCCTCAAAACCTTTGGCCTACGATCTGTCCCCCATGAAAGACACGCCAGGGCAATGGTGGCAGAGAACTTGTGGGAGTGGCCAACCGATGTCTGCTTTGACTTAAAGCTCACTCATGAGATGGAACCCATACTGGACACTGCTTGTGTGACCCAGAGACTAGAGAGCCCAGAGACCTAGGGTAAAATCAAACACTACTTGTCTTAAAAAAAAAAATGACTCTTAAGGATATTCTGCTCTACTCATACATAAGTGCCTTTCTTAACGTTCATCAGATAGGCTTCCTCCTGTGGCAGACAGGAACAGATGCAGAGACCCACAGGCAGACATTATGAGGAGAGAGAGTCCTCGGAACACACACACAGTTCCTTGGAACACACACAGTTCTAAATGGGAAGTCTCCATCAAATCCCTCCCCTTAGAGCTCAGGGAACCCCACGGAGTAGGAGGCAGAAAGAGTATAAGTGACAGAAGTGATAGAGGACACCAGGAGAACAAGGCTTCCTGAGTCAACTCAGCAAGGCTCATATGAGCTCACAGAGACTGACACAGCAAGCTCAGAGTCCTCTGCGAATATGTTATAGCTTTCAGCTTAGTCTTTTACAGGACTCCTGTGTGTTGAACTAATGGGTCTGATTCTTATGTCTGCTCTTGTGCTCTTTCCCTTCTCTTGGATTACATTGTCCAGCCTGAGTGTTATGGCTTTTGTTTCCTCCTATTATATTTTATCTTGTAATGTTTGCTTGTTATCTTTAGAAGCCTGTTTTCTTCTCACGAGAGACAGAAAGGGAGTGGATCTGGAGAGGAGGGGAGTCAGGGAGGAACTGGGAGGAGTTTAGAGAGGGGAAACTGTAATCAGGACATATTGTATGAGCAAAGAATCTATTTTCAATAAATGGGGAAAAAAAGAAAATAAAAAGAGGCATTGGTTCTCCAGTAACTGATGGAAGCAGATGCAGAGATCCACAGCCAAACACCAGGCTGAGCTCCAGGAGTCCAGTTGAAGAGAGAGGAGAGGGATTCTATGAGCAAGGGACATCGATATCATGATGGGGAAACCTACAGAGACAACCAAAGCAAACTAGTGGGAACTCATGAAATTTAGACCAACAGCCGTGGAGCCTGAATGGGACTGGATTAGGCCCTCTGCATAAGCGAGACAGTGTGTAGCTTCATCTGCATAAGGGGCTCCCTGACAGTAGGATCAGGACCCATCCCTGGTGCATGAGCTGGCATTTTGGAGCCCACTACCTATGGTGGGACACCTTGTACAGCCTTGATGGGGGGGTGTTGGACCTGCCTCTACTGAATGTGCCAGGGAGGTCTTACCTTCTTATAGGAGGGAATGGGGAGTGGGAGGGAAGGCTGGAGGGGTGGGAGGAGAGAATAGGGGGATCTGTGATTGGTATGTAAAATGAATAATAAAATTTCTTAATAAAAAACAAGAATCTTGGTTCTTATCCTACTTGCTATTGCGTTCCATTATATGATTCTGGTGCCTAGTATTAACTAATTAACTATCCAACAAAACATTTTATTAACTGCCTACTATGTCCCAGACATATTATGGAGACAAGACCAGCTAAGGTAAGAGAATTAAATAAAGAGATGGAAATGCAAAAGAAAAATCAAACTGAAATGACACTGGAAATGAAAAACTTATGTCAAATAAATACTTTGGTGGAAAGCCTCACCAACAAATTGGATCATGGGGAGGAGGAGAGAGTATCAGGAATCGAAGGCATAGTTAGGAACTGAACTATCAAGTGGAAGGTGATTGGTTTATTGGTTTAATGAAATAAAGCACATAGTTTGGATCTTAAGTCCTTCCTGTAGTTAAATGTTGTGAGTGTAATATAAACAGCAACCCAGGATGTGCTGCTGAAAATAGATCAAAGGCACGTGTCAATGCATTCCCAAGCATAATTTTTAAGTTTTATGGGGAAAGGAGGAGTTAATTCTCAGAACTTACAGGTTTGCAGGCAAAGGAACCAGATCCACAGGTGGTGCTGAGCCATCTCCGGCAGGCTGGAGTCTTCTCGAGGAGAAGTCTAGGAGACTCTCTATTTCACTTGTGGTGTTTCCGGAAGCTTGAGAGAGGAAGTGTGAGCTGATTAAGAAGCGTTTGCTCTTGCTCTGCTTACACGTGTTTTCCACTGCATGACCACAGTGCCTACTAGCCTGTTAACTGTTAATTAATTAATTATTCAGCAGTAATAAAGTAATTGACTGCTTTCCTTTTGTGGGGTTTATTTTTTTTCCTTTTTGGAGGGATCCATAATTACACAGGAAATTTCAATAAATGGTGATATGTGTTGCAGCAGCAAGAAAAACAAGGACCTCTGAGAGGGGAGGTATCTACTCCAGGGTAGGGTAAGTTGGAGATTTCTGAAAGAAGTTGACAATTTAGCTGAGACAAATATGCAGAATAAATTAGGATTATCAGCCAAAGGGTTAACTATATTTTGAATCACAAGAATAAATTGTCCATAAGCACTGTATCCCTCCCACTAACCCACCATCCTCTAGGTAAGTTAACTCCCCAACTCATGAAGGGACATCAGTTGTCTCTAAGACTGAATTACATGTAGCCCTTAGTGAGACAAGACCAGCTGAGCGGAGAGAACACCAAGGCCCAGTCTGAACGCTCAGTGTAGGTGTGCCAAACTCATTCCGAAAGGCAGACACACATTTCCAGATGGCAAGCCAGAGTTAGAGCCAAAGCTAGATCTAAAGTCAGCCAGAGCCAAACAAGATCCAGAGTGGAAGCCAGAGCCAGAGTGTAAACAGATTCAAGCCCAGAGCTGGTCTAGACAGGTGCTCACCATTCGAGAGCACAGGAAGAAATGCTCAGTGTCCGAGGAACTCCAAGCTGCAAGGCAGGGTTCTAGGAACCAGGAAAGGAACACGAGAGATGACTGATAATCTCCAGCAATAAATGGACCTATTCCTGGTAGTGACTATTATTGAAGATGGTATCCCACTTTCAGAGTAGGATCAGAGAGACAGAGCTTAGTACCCTAAACACAGAGGGAAATGATAACTCAACTTTACTATAACCTAATCCCTCTGGAACACTGCAAACACTCATTGAAACAAGAAAAGTCACCTAAGAGAAATGAAGCCTGACACTGGAGCTGTAGCTCCAGTGCAAATTCGCAAATAACATGAAAAATCAAGATAAGTTATCTTGTGCTGGAGAGATGGCTCAGTGGTTAGGGCTGTCTGCTCTTTCAGAGGACCTGTGTTTGATTCCCAGTACCTACAACTGTCTGTAACTCCTATTTCAGGGGATCAATCACTGTCCTTTGGCTTCTGAAGGCAGTGCACACACACACACACACACACACACACACACACACACACACACACACACACGCCAGACAATCATACCTAGAAAATAAAAATGAGGGGGAAAACCCCATTTCTTCCTTAAACTACTCACCCCAGAGTAGTGATTCCTGATCAAAGTGACTTAGAAATAATTTTTAATAGAATGATTATGAATATGTTCTCATTTCCTTGACATATTCAAAGAAGTGAAAACCCATTTAAAGAAATGAAAGTAGACATGAATAGATAGCTTAAGGAAATAAGGAAGCTAATGTCAGATATGAAAGTGGAATTAAAGAAAGAGATAGAAAAACCAAACTGAAATGATGCTGGGAATGAAAAACTTAAGTGAAATAAATAATGCAGTGGAAAGCCTCTCCAACTATCAATCATGGGGGAAGAGAGAGTAACAGGGATTGGAGGCACAGTAAGGAATTGAGATATTAAGTCAAAGTTAATGATTGGTGTTTAATAAAGTAAGTGTGTGGAATGTATGGTATCCTTAGGACACCATGGAAAGTCCAAATTTATGAATTGTGGCTTAGAGGATGTTGAATTCCATGCCAAAGTTGTTGAAAATATTTTCTACATAATTGTAGCAAAAATATTTCCACCTTAAGGGAAACAGAGGTCCATCTATGTACAAAAAGGTACATAAAACACCAAATAGGTGTGACTAGAAAAAAAGTCTCCTCCATTTTAGATCATAGTTAAAACACTCAAATATACAACAAAGGAATTGTATTGAAAGCTGAAATACACTAAAGACATTGAGGAAGACACTAGGAGATTGCAAACCTCCTCACGTTCATAAATTGGAAGAGTTAATATTGTGAAAATGACCATTTCCCTCAAACCAATCGACAGATTTTCAATGCAGTCTATATCAAAATTCCAACTTTATTTTCTATATTAATGGAAAAGCAATCTTAAAATTCATACAGAAGCGCAAAAGACTCTGGATAGGCAAAACAATTCTGGATAAGAACGATAGAGGGTGGATGGGGGAGGGGCTTGTGAGCCCTCCTGCCCAGCTGAGGAGCCAGTGACAATTCATGATTGCTGCAGAAAGGACAGCTATTTTTCTTTGGGGGTGTGGCCACTGGTAAGTTGTCCATGCTCCAGTGTATAGCCCCACATTCATGCATTTCTGTCCCACATTCGTGCTTACCTGAGCAGCACTGATTGGATTCAGTGGATATCTATGTCTTTGTCTATATCTATCTATCTATAGCTATATGTGTGTGTTCATATTTGTTGGGGTTTGGGGGTCAGCAGGTTTAGAGAGAGTTGGAAGGGGATGATTATATACATGCATGACATTCTCAAAGAATAAATTTTTAAAAATTTAAAAAAATTTTAAAGAAGAATATCAAGGGTCTCACCCTACCTGATTTCAGGTTATACTGAAGAGTCATAGTAGTAAAAACTGCAGAATGGTACTGGTACAAAAACAGACGTATAGATATTTGGGATTAAACTGAGAACCTGTCTTAGTTAGAGTTTCTATTGCTATGAAGGGACACCATGACCATTGCAACTCTTATAAAAGAAAACATTTAATGGGGTGGCTTACAGTTTCAGAAATTTACTTCATGGTGGCATGTATGGTGCTGGAGGAGCTGAGAGTTTTGCACTTTGATATATAGGCAACAGGAAGTGGTCTGAGGCACTGGGCATGGGTTTGAGCATATATGAGACCTCAAAGCCCATCTCTACAGTGACACACTTCCTCCAAGAAGACCACACCCACCCCAACAAGACCACACCTCCTAATAGTGCCTCTCCCTTTGGGGGGCATTTTCTTTTGAACTACCATAGAACCCATAATACAAGCTCTCACAATTATACTCACCTGAGTTTTGGTAAGCAGAGCTGGGAAAATCATTTATCTACAAAGAGAAGAATGAAACTAGATCCACAGCTCTCACCCTGTACGGAAATCAACTCCAAATGGATCAAAGTTCATATGTGACACTTTAAACTCTGGGACTGCCAGAAGAGAATGTAGGGAAAATACTACAAGATACAGGCATAGGCAAAAGCTTTCTGGATAGGACTCTAGTTGCTCAGGAAATATGACCAACCACTGACAAATGGGACTTCATGAAATTAAAAATCTTCTGTATAGCAAAGACAACAGTTTATTGAATGAAGAGATAGTTTAAAGAATGGAAGGAAGTCTTTGCAGCCTGTATATCTGACAGGAGACTGATATTTGTAATATACAAATAATTTAAAAAGCAAAAAATTAAGGAAACAATTCAATCCAAAAAACTGGCTTAGTTCCTAAACTTGAAAAAAAGCAATACAAATAGCCAATATATGCTTTAAAAATGTGATCAATATCCTTATCCGTCAGGGAAATGCAGACTAGAATGTCTGGCATTACATTGGTATGGCTTTTGTTAAGAACACAGATGATAGCAAATGCTGGCTAGGATGTGGAAAAATGAATCCTTCTTCATGGTTGGTAGGAGTGTAAACTGGTGTAGCCATTATGAAAATCATTGTGGATCCCTCAGAAAGCTAGAGATAGGATCTACTACATGATCTGCTATTAGGCACACACCCAAAGGACTCTATATCTCACCACAGAGATACTTGTCCATCCATGTTTATTGCTGCTAGATTCACAACTGCAAGAAAATGGAGTCAGCCTTGATGCCTATGGACTTATGAACATATAAAGAAAATATGATGTATGTACACAAAGAAAACTGAAGTGATGCAAATTTCCAGGAAATGTATAGAATTGGAAAAAACTATAGTAAGACAAGTATCCTAGGCTCAGAAGGACGCTACTTAATGTTCTCTTGCACACACAGTTTCTAGTTTCCATTTGTACAAATTGCATTTTTGTGGGAGTGAGTGTATGTAGAGACCGGGAAACTAGACAGGGGCCCAGGAGACTGGGAAAGAGAGGTTTTAAAGGACATGGGGCAGTAGGACACAGATACGGAAATGGAAGGGAAATGTGGGGGTGGAAAGTTTAAAGTGGGGAGGTGGGGACGGGGAGATGAAGAGACAAGAGTCAACTAAAATCAACAATGTGTGAAAAATTCACTAAGAAAATCTGGCTGGGCGGTGGTGGCGCATGCCTTTAATCCCAGTACTCGGGAGACAGAGGCAGGTGGATCTCTGTGAGTTCGAGGCCAATCTGGTCTACAGAGCGAGTTCCAGAATAGGCCCCAAAGCTACAAAGAGAAACCATGTCATGAAAAAAAGACAAAAAAAAAAAAGA